ATCTTTATTTTCAGAAGTCACCTGCATTAACTGAAAAATTGGAAACATGATAGTAGCATTCATTATTAATGGAAAAGGGGTATGATTAACAATCATTTCAAGTTTCAGGTAATAGCCTGTTTAACTGGAAAAGAATACCGAATATACTTACAGATGTAATCAAATATAAACATCTGCTTAACATGAAAAAATTAAGTTCACATTTATACAATTTAGTAAGTCTCAGAAGAAAATTTTTATAGGGTTTTGTTGGTTTTTTCCTTTCTACTGGAGAAATTTGTTTAGTTTACATGTGTTAGCTTCCCTTAGGAACCCATCCAAAATAGTAAGTATAGGTTCATTCATGAAAACTGGTCATTAAAATTTATTTTTTGGTATCCTAAGGCTGAATTCTTAAATTTTAACTCCTGTTCACCTTAAATGCTGCCAAAGATCAGTAATAACCAATCAGGAATTTGTGGTTAATCTATCTGTAGTTGCCTAGAGACTGGAAATGATGTAGACTGCTATTAAAAATATGTATTTTTTCTAAGTTTAAAGATGTTTAAGATCTCTTGATCTCATGTTAATTCTGCAATGTCATAGACCCCCTCCTTTTCTGGTTTCTGGAAATCCAAGTCTGGTTGGCAGGACACACAGACAGATTCTACACAGCTGATGTCTACATCCACCAATTACAAATATTAAACACGAACATCACAGAAAGCATGACTCTCATCTGCTGAGAGCTGTGAACAGCTCTGTCTGAAGTATTAAGGAAGCTTGAAACATTAGATTGTAATCTATCATTATTCCCATAAGTAAAGTGCATTGATATTCAATTTCCATAAAGTCAGTAAATGGAGGAAACTACCTAAATCACATATTCCCATAAAAAGAAAAACATTCCATTTTCTGAGGTTAATTTCCTTTTGGGTCACGTCTGCCCATTTTTGGCTAAAGAGCAATTCTGCTACTGTGTAGGAAGAAATATTTTTTTTCTTCATAAAAATATATTTTTGTTCTTCAGAGTAGTAAGCTGACATTACACACTGTTGTGGTCAGGTTCACGGCTAACGGTGCCCCGTGATCACCACACTTACAGCAGTCATCCACGAAGGAAAAGCTAAGAAATGTGTCCGACCATTTCTAGGCTTTGCCCTGTATTTTTTAACCGAGATTTTTGTGCCACCCCTGGTGCCAGACTCCCCAGGTGTCACCAGTACATCCGTGCATGTCACTATGCTAGCTCCAAGCGCTCACTGTGGACAGCCGTCACCACAGCCCCGTCCCTCCTGGTGGCCCATCTACAATCACCCAAGTCTGAGGGTCAAGCTCAGCTTGTCCAGACCATAAACCACAGCAACTGAATAGTGTGTTTTCTGGTAGCCTCCTTTAAAAAACAAAACACATCAGATTTTAGCATGTTCCTACCATGATATAAAAGGACTCAGCCACCTAACCCCTGGGTTCCCATTTATGTTCTTTATAATAGAACTCTAAGATGTGGCTATATACCATATAAAAAGAATTAGAGTCAAAAGTCTCTATTTTCAAAAACTTAAGAGATTACTTCTGCAGAAACTAAAGTGTGTCAGTGTAGGCACTCTGGAATGAACAATGCCTTAAGTTCAATGGCGTAAACTCTGAATGAAGCAGGGCAGGCCACAACAGCTTTATGCTGTACACTCTCTCTTCCCTAATGTTTAGTGAGAACACAGCGAAGTGCAACTTACCAAACGGTTACTGACTGCTGTAGTCTGTTTTCTCCCACTGGGAAAGCCACGGCCCACAACCTCTGACTTTTAGTTTCACACTCCGAACAGGGGACTCCCTTCACCTATGGCTTATTAACCCTCGGCTACCTGACAAACAAGTCAGTGAACTGTTCTCATTTAATTTGGTCCTGGGAATGCTTCAGTGTGTTATCCCTTTTGTATTAATTCTTTTCTAACCACATTGTAGCTTTAATTTATTTTAAAAGTATATAATCACATCTTGTAAAATCAGTAAGAAGTTTGTTAACTCATTTTAAAGCATCTGACACTCTTTGCCTTAACAATTTTAAAAACCATACACACAAACTCTGTATATAATTAATACTCCAAAAGTTAGTTCTATTTTGAGATTTACTCATCTCTATAATTATATAGTTCTGTCATTTAAAATATACTATTTAAATCTAATTTTTACATTTCAATATTATCTTTAGTAGTAACTAAGTATATTTTCTGTCACATTATTTCTAAGAATGCTATTTTTCAGAATGTGAGAATATATATGTATGGCTGTATCTTGTGAATTTAAAGTCTGTTTTCTGATATTTTGTGTATATACTTGTAAAAAATTTTGTATAATTTTATGATAATGTAGTTCCCCAAAATATTTATTTAAAGAGCATATGTTAATAGTAAATTATATCATTTGAAAGAACTGTTCACATTTTTTGCACTTGGCATTCTAACTGTTCACACATCTACCTCTCTAGTCCTTTCCCAGGAGGCAAGGAACCTTTTTATGAAAGTGGCATCAACCCAAGAGGCCTGTATTCATTTAAAAATAAATTCACTTAAAAACAAAACATCATCATCGTAATAATTACATGAAACAGAAGTACAAACAGAACTGGGTGACTAATTTAAGCCACTTCAACATTTTGGCCACTGTTTGTTTTCACAATGGATTCAGAAAAATATTAAAAATGTTGACAATTAAAGCAGCAGTGGACAAATGTGCCTCAAACGACTAGCTTTTTCCTAAACTGTCTTTTCATAATAAAAACAAAATGAACAAAAACACCCAATGTTAAAGCCACTAAACAACTTACAAACTTGAAAAATTAAGACACTTCAGATAGGCAACAGACTCATATTATGAAAGCAATATATTCCAAATTTCAAAAATTTGACAGGTTCTGTAGAATGTCTTTTCATCAGTAGATGGCAACTTTCAAAATTCATAATCTTCTCCCGGGTAGTACTGGGTGTCATTCACTGAATAAAAAGAACCAAAAATAGTAACTGTTTTGTACCCATACATACCATATCTCTCAGCTAAGAAATTGGACATTTCCCTAGAAAATGAGTATCTGATCTACTAATTGTAATGCAATATAAAGCCTATTTTAAAGAAGATAATTCAACTATATAAGGTACATATTTGGAAGGAGTGGCATCCACTTCCTAAACAACATGCCTCTGGAAACTATGAACTTTGATAAATGTCGATAGAGGGGCTTCAGACCTTTTGTTCATAGAGTTGCTATGTGTTGTACTCAATTCAACGATTATCAACAACAACAAGGTACACATATATAATCAAACTTATACCACTTGATAAATTTCTGAAATACTTTATATTATAACTGCTAATAAAGACACTCAACTACATGGATTGACACAGTGACTCCTGCAATGGGCTCTTGTGTGTCAGGAAGTAAGCCTGGCACAGGATAGAACAGAGTTCGGATCTTTTGTTCATAGGTCACTATGACTGTATTCAACTCGACAGCACCTAACAACAACAACAAAGTCTAAGTTGTCAACAATTGCATTTTACTTGAATCCAGAACCAACACTCATAGTAACCACAGTCAAGAAAACAAGATGTTGCACTGGGAAAATCTGCTGTCATGGATCCCTTCAAAGTCCTACAGAGCAATGATTTCAGTTTAAAGACTAAGGTGCACCTGATCTAAGCCATAATATTTCCATTATTTTCTATACATATGAAAAAGTTGGACAGTGAATAAGGATGAATCAATGCCTTTGAATTGTGTTTCCAGAGCACTGCATATCCCATGGAGTGCCAAAAGAACAAACAAGGAAGTCTAGAAGGAAATGCAACAACCTTAGAGGCAAGTGCCACTTTATCTCACATACTTTTTGGGTATATTATCAGAGGGGACAGTGGAGGATCAGGGAGCGGCAGCCCCCCCCCCAAGTGAGATGGACTGACAGAGTGACTTTAACAGTGGGCCTGAGCACAGCAGACAGTGTGAGGGCAGCACAGGATTGGACAGGATTTGTTCACAGGATCATTAAAAGTTAAAGCTGACTCTAGGATACCAGTAACAACATATAAGAAAACTGATGCTAGTCATATAGTTGGTAGGGAGTGGCACTGCTAACCGTGGTGGTTCTAGTCCAACAGGAGCTCCATGGGAGAAAGAAGCGTAATCTCCTGCAGTGTGATTTAGAGCCTCTTAAAAACCACAGACGAAAGGTCACCTATGAGTTGGTTCTGACTTGGTGGCAAAGAGATACGGAGTGTGTGTGTGTGTGTGTGTGTGTGTGTGTGTGTGTGTGTGCAATTACACACACACACACAGAGGAGCTCTAGTGTTAAGAATTTATGCCAATATAACATGTAATTTGATTTCTTGACTAATGTTAGGAAGGATGTTGATTGTGGATCCAAGTAAAATAAAGTCGTTGATAATTTAAAAAAACCTTTATGACAACAACCAAAAGGCCTGAAGTTCAAATTCACCAGCTGCTCTGCAGGAGAAAGATGGCAGCCTCTTCTTGCAAGATTTAAAGCCTCTAAAAACCCCCTGGAGGTTCAGCTGAGTGATTTCCAACTCAATAGTATACAACAGCCATGTATACAGACATAAGTGTGTGTATGTCAAAGCCTTTTGTATGTGCTGGCGTAGTGGATAATCATGAGATGATGTGAGGACATTCATGAGTCACTAAGTAAAACAATATTTAACAGGAGAGAAAAATCTAATTCCAAGTACACTGTTTTCCCCACAACAGAGAAACTATCCACTTGGTAGGAAAGTGCTGAAAACGACACTGGAATTTCAATCTTTACCTGGTTTGAGGTCGAATCCATTTCAAGGCATGTCGTGGTGGGACAGTAATGGTGGGATGGTAAAATGCACAGTCAGGTCTTGTACACTGAGTATT